CATTCTACAGAGTCAGGTTTTGCTGCCCATTTTTTCCATTCCTTTGTTTTCTATTGTTTTCATTCACCTCCAGCTTACAATGTAAGCATCTGTTGTGACAAGATGGACGCCAAATTGGATTGACACACATGTTGTAATTCTAACAAAGAAGGAATATGAATAGTACTAAAACAAATACGACAAGGCCGAGCACTAGAATATGCGAAAATGATAGATGACCGTTTATCAATTACCATTAAACATGTAATTCTTCCATAAAATTATGGCAAACAACAGATAAGACACAAATAGAGCAAACTCATGGGTGTTACTAAAAGGCGAAACAACGAAACAAAGAAACAGCGAAACAATACAACTACCACAATGTACCATAAATGATCCCTGGATTTYATTTTTGCCAAAACTGCCAAGAGAAAGAACTTTATACTTGTACAGCAATATCTTATAAGCCAACCAAGTCTTTTGCTATAAAACTGAGCGTCAGACGTTGTCATTCATCGTGAATATGAGCCAATTGTGAGAGTGTTCGTAAAAGCACAAAAACGCAACACATGCTTATACGTTTAATCGTTTTTCTCAAAATCGGCTGGACGAATTTCCTTGGTTTTGAGATATATTATAGGTGCAGTACTTTTGGTTTTTCTAGGTGCCATCGAAATTTGCCGGAAAACAGCTTTCTTTGAATTTTTTCTTTCTACCATAAAATTGCTATTTTTGCAGTAAATTAAAAATCAATACATGTTTAAAACTTTTCATCTAAGTACAACGTTGCCTGTTTATTACTCGGGGTTCCTGTGGAACTGCGAGTTTAGGTTTCGGCTGTCTTTGTCATGGTATTCGTCGTACACAAATTGTCTCGGCCAAACTAGAAGGCACTGGGTACGAATGTTATCATGTGCTATCTATCTTTATGGTGGCGAGTGTACACGAGATGATCGAAAGACATGGCTTTAACTTCAAATACGCTCAAATAACTTACAAATCCAAAACACCATTCNGTTCACGCAGCTATGCGTCTAGTTTTATGAAAATCGAGTTACATTAAGTTGGTCAAACGGCCGTTTAAAAATGTTAGGTGCGCGGGAGTGCCAACCACTATGAAACACCTTAACTAGTTTATTACAAATCCTGTGAGTTTTTATTACAAATCCTGTCGTTATTACAAATCCTGTTGATTATTACAAATCCTGTTGATTATTACAAATCCTGTTGATTATTAGGTCTTTCGTCACTAGACGCAAGTAAATGCGCAACGACTGCTTTTGTAGAATGTTTTGAATGCGTGTCTTGTGTAATCGTGTCCGATTTCTCATTGTCCGTTAATAAGTCCAGTTCATTATCAGTTGACCGTTGAAGAATTGCGCCAGAGTTTCGATGTCATTGACTTCCCGGGATTGGCATTTTCCGTTTTGGACAATATAACACCATTTTTCTAAGCCCTTCTTTCTTTTTTCGTTGTTTTTCTCTTATCCCTCAAATATTGAAATATTATTTGATTTCTCCTATGACTGAATGATTCTACCAATCAATTTATTCATTTTGAGCCCACAAACACACTGTACAGCATGTAATCGAAAAACGCCTCGCTTATATGCCTTATCGACGTTGCGTTGTCATCATCTATCTACTCTGCCATTCCATAGTTAGTAACTAATTATTGGCCATTCCGACGGCGTGCGATTCGATACTGTTTATGTATATGTGAGCATGATTTTAATAAGATTGTTCTATGGAATATCCCCTTTTTTTTACCTTTGACATGTAGTTGCTTGTACGATCTTCCTTCGGATATATTTTCCAATTCTTCAAAGTGCATTGAAGATTGCCTGAACATTGTAGCACGTGTATGCAGACGTTTTCATAATATAGTGCATGATTCTGGGGCATTATGGCGATCGCTGAAAACAGATGCCGAATTTGACGTGCATATCAAAGAATTGTATGTCATTCGTGCGGGTTCCCTGTGCTTTTTAGTTTTGGGCTTCCGATCCTTTAGCGAATTCATGCCATATATGGAAACAAACAAAATGGCCGATTGTTGAGAAGTGTTTTCTTTCGCTATAATATCTGCAAGTTTTAGACGATTTCAAGCTTTAAAAGACGAGAAAATCGGCAAAAACCATTCCTATCGTACTTCCAAATAAGGTAAGATTACAATATATGGCTGCTAAACGAAGGACAACTTTTGTGGGGCAATTCTTTAATATGGATAGTTTTGAGTACATAGTGAATCACGTCAAGCACTTTCTTAATCTCGCATTGCAGTTTTCTCAAAAACCAGTCCGTTCATGATTACATATTTTTTAGGAACCAGTGAACATTGCGTACTAAATTCCGTTTAAGTTTGTTCAATAAAGAGTTACTAAAAAGGCCCACAACGCTGCAAATCGCATGTCCGAGAGTCTGAATTTCAAAATTTCTCCGGGGGAATGCCCCCGAAACCCCGTAGGGGCTCCCGCCATCGGCGGTTGGCTTCCATTTTATTACATTCTTTTAACAATTCACCCCCCACTTCAAAATCATGCATGATCCGCGCCTGAAGTCAAAGGAGAGGGATGAAGGAGAAAGCGAAGCAGTGAGGGGTTTAGCAGCAAGTTAGGATGGATTTGAATTGAGCGGCCCAGGCAAAAAGAAGGTAGATAAAAATAATGGCGCATTCGACCTACCTCTGCTAGTGGCAGGAGAACTATTTCCATTTGATGGAAAAGTCGTCGTGCCTGARGAATTCACCGAAGTAGAAGCAACTGAGCCAGACGTTGTAGCGATGTCCGAACCAGACGGAGTTGTAGTAGTTGAAGTAGAATTGCTCTGCAAGGCGGCCTGAACTGACAAAATCAGAACAATTGCGAAACACATGTCAAGTGAGATAT